GTGGGATTGGCCGTCACATTATAACGTCCCCACAGCTGAAAGGGCGAGCATGTTTGGTGGGAAGGGGATTCGAACTCGCGACCCACAGATTACGAGTCGAGTGCCCTTGTTCTCGTAGTTCTGATTGTATGAATGGTGCTGTGACCTCTGTTAACGTATATTTGATGGAAATTGAAGGGGTATATCTTACTGGCAACTTCCTCAAACTGTAACGTACTACACAATTGTGTTTGTCATAGTTGGTACTTAACTGTAGAATGCTATTAAGCTCATTAACCCTAGGATTACCAAAGCGTCAATCCTTATTCTAACCACATTTTTATAAACTATTTATGAAACAAAATGTCCGTGGGTCTTTGGTTAATAGCATACAATAAGTACACAAAAACACTATCAATAATGCAGTTAATGCGACTAATTACAGCTAGAGGGCCCTGTGTATTTTACACAGAAAATTAATTATTCCACCAAATGTTTTGGCCAGTTCTTCACTCTGAGTGCCGTAAGAAGCAAAAACACAATAGTACTCAATATGTTGCCCCCCACTAGCTGTGAAAAATATAACAACAAGTCGGTAATTTGAGGTTTAATATTTTGTAATCTTAATCAATTACAGTATTTGATGTATAACGTACAAAGATGGATTACGTACAATAACCCCCAAAAAATATAATCGACTATCCCTCTTACCAAGTCGGCGCCTATGCTTTCAACGATAGTGTACCCTGCTCTCTATGTTTTTCTGTATAAAACGCATGTGTCTTGTAATGTTTTAGCAAACATCTGTGGTTGAGGAACGAAGTTTGAAGTAAGGAAAAATAAACTTACAAAAATGTAGAAGCTAAGAATATTTTAACAATAAACTCAACATTAAATAAAAAAAAACTTTACTTTTTTCTTAACGAAAATACATAACGGATTTTTATTTCGGCTACTAGAACTAATAGATGTACAACATGTTTATCTTCATCGTTTTATTTCTAATCCTTAAAAAGTATTACGTATAAAGTGATGGAAAAACAGCAATTACAATTTTTCTGTTTGAGGTCTAACTTTTTTATCTTTAAGCAAATAGCTTTCTCATCTGTATTTGGAGAGCTCTCACTTATACCTTTGTATGTGTTCTATTTTTTCATGAAAGTTCGTATGATTTACTGAAAGAAACCGAATTATTTCATATTTTGTTTCAAAGATGCACTGCCCTCCTACCCTTGTACAAGACGAATGCGTCATCATGCATGCTCTGGTATGGAATATAAGCGGTAGTTACATCAGAAATGTGGGTGTGGAATAGTCCAAACGTGGTGAATTATACGAGTTTGAACGAGAGGGGGAGAATATAAACAGTTGCCTCTGTAGAAGTCAAATAGTCGTAGTACTTTTGTCATGAGCAATATAATATGCACGAGACCACTCAGTGCTATCAGCAGTTTGATGATCATATATAACCTAAGCTTTTGCGAAACTAAAAAACTGCTGGAGACATTCACTTTGTTAGAATTGCGAGAAAGTACTGAAAATCATGAACAGGTTTACATAGCCATTACTAGTGTAGCCACGTGCAATGGGAACAAACTTTGAGGTTTTTTGCTGTGTATGTGTGTAAATCTCCACGAGGGAGTGTATACTTTGGAAGAGATGGTATACACACGCCGTATATCATCCATAACAAAGCTTGAAATATACGTCAACAATGTAATCTTGACAATTAATCATGAATTATTTGGTGTAATTAGGAATGTTTTATCCAGTTTTCAAGTGGCGGCAGAACATAGATTTGATTGCGATTGACTACGTTGGGCAAAGCATGAATAAGAACTTGGGGGGTGGATGCCACGGAGTGGGTTGTATATTAAACCTAGGACCTATCTGTGAAGTATCTTCAATAAAAACGTCAGAGGGGTCGTGATGTATTTTTTTTTTAATCAGAAGACCAATGTTACTTCTGAAACTATGATAGCTGTCTCTACCACAAAGAATGAAGATTGGTGCATACTTTAAAACTAGTATTAACAACTTCCTGGAAAGTCTCAACCAAATGTTAACCCTGTAAGTCATATATAAGTTTTTAGTCGTATCATTAAAAAATTGAGCCTACGATACAACAAATAGTGCATCAGAACATACTTGAGAAAACTCTCCAATGTTACAGCGTATTAGAACACCAATCACTAAGATCCCCCCCCCCCTTTCTTGACTACGTGGCCAAGTAATTTTTTTAGTCAGCTTATATTTTGTTTTTAGTTGTATGCTTCTTATAAGTCATCAGTTACGATACTTTTTTTACTGTAAAACGTAACAGTTTAGATAGAGGGTACTCACGTAATTCTTATGGCACATGTCCTATAAGATCATGTTTTATTCTATAGGTTTCATTTTAGCTTAAGCTTCCATTAAGTGCTGTAAATCATAAAACAAAACGGAAAAAAATCGACATTTTCTAGAAACATCTAATTGATTTACTGCACAGAATACATTTATCATAGTTGTACATTTCAGAAAATGCAAACAATACCACATCTTGAAGACAAAAAATAATCAGTATGTTTGCCAGAATACCAGGAACTTCAGTGTTATATACAATGAAGCTCAGGCAACATTCACGTAGTATATTTTTAATACACACTTGTATCGTTTGGTGGCTTATTTAATTAACTAACGCAGTTAAAAAACCAATACTCAGTGACTGAAGTCCTCGAAAGTATCTTTTAGGAACGTATTCGATTCTAAAGTGTGTTTCTTTGGCTGTTTTGGAAGAATTTCCTAATCTTAAGATGACATACATAAAGTTCGAAATTAAATTTATGCTTCAGAACTTGTTACTCTTCTCCTAAGGCATTTTTTTTTCTATAGCTATACTGTATAAAATATGACCAACAGGTGGCACTACACACTCTGCATGATATGTAATAAACGGAGTAAGTGATGTTTGTAGAAGGAAAACATCTGTATAATCTGTGTATTGTATTTGAACTACTCGAGCAACCTTATTATTTCAACTAATTAAAGATCCTAAACACCTCTAGCTGCTCAGTGCTTGCTTGCCAGGACTTTAGTAACAAAAGAGGTTTTCTTTTATTGTCATGGTTTGTCTTAAAGGCTGCAGTACACTTGGCATTTGTTCGTCACTAATTTGGTGTCGGACAACTAATCTGATGGGGTCGGCAGTTCCCGACGAGTGTCCGAAAAATCGGGAATTGTCTGGCAATATCTGATAGTGCTAGATCTTTAGATTCCTTATCTAGCCTTGTTAACAAGTGTGCTTCGGAGCACGAGAATTTGCTCGGGGTCAGGAAGCAGTTTTACCAACATGAGCGGAGTCACACCATTGTAAACATATCCATGCCTTTATGATGTGACGTCATCCGATCATAGCAATCGGACATTGAAGATAAGAGCATGGCTTGAAATTGCCATCGAAGTTAACATGCCCGATAAAGAGCCAACATAGCATTCCCAGGTGTCAATCGTGTAGTTCAACTTAGCCATATATATGTTTTATTCTTTATTACCATGCCTTCAACTTTGTTGGTGACAATCAGCTAATTGGGCTAAGGCCCATTCATGCACGACAAATTTCCACCGAAATTTGTTTCTTTTTCGGAATATTTTATATTTTAAGTTTAGAGTCACAGTAGGTCTAGAGATTTCTTGTTTATTAGTTTTTGCTTTCGCTTCCTCGCGGACACCACCATGTTGAATGACCTTTAGCAGTCGTCACTAGAGACACGCTAGTTGTGACAAAAATCGACTAGTGCGCTGTTTGCGTAGATTTAATAATGAAAATCTAAACAACTACCTTTAAAAAATGACTTAACAAGCAAAAGATACAAAATCCTTATGTTGCCCCCCCCCCCCCACCACAGTTGGTCAACTGTAAGTTTTAAGGTTTATAACACCAAAAACTGGGTTTCGATACCACTGTGGTAGACCCGGCATGGCCAGGTGGTTAGGGCGCTCGACTCGCAAATTTGAGTGTCACGGGTTCGAATCTCCGTCCCACC